GCGTCGTGTAATTCCTTCAAAATGCTTAATCGAAGCGAGGCTGGGATGACTGGTTTATATTCGAAATTTTCGTTTGTTGTTTTCGTATAAAATAATAAATTATCTATTATTTCATAGTTTTCTGCTCTATTTCTTATTGCATCGATATCTGTGTGTTCAAAGCTTTCGGGGTCTTTCAAATACGCATAGATACTTCCAAATTCAGGATCAGCTTTCAATTCAGCAATAATTGTTTCTCTAGAATCTAAAAAAATTTTTTTGAAGTCAACACAGCGCATTTGAGTTCATTGCCTTCATCGTCCAGTTTTATACGAGAAAGTGCGTCAGCTACATTGTTTTCCTTACCCGGTTTATATTTAATTATGAGATTATATTCTTGAGTTTTAAAGCCCATCTTATTAACCTGGGCGTTAGGTTTTTCCCCGAGTAAAGTCTACCAACAGCCGCATGATCCGAAAAGACTGTTACTGGCGCTTTGCCGAAATAAACTCGAAATTTGTGTACAGCCATTAATACGGCTAATGTTTCTCTCTCTGTAGCTGTATAATTCCTTTGTAGGGTTTCAACGTTTTACTAAAAAATGCCAAAGGATGGCCATTTTGCATGAGAAACCGCACCTACAGCATAGTCCGACGCATCTGCTGCAATTTCCATGTTTTCGTCCCCCTCCGGGAATTTCAAAACAGGGGCATTGATGAGCGCTTCTTTTAACCTTTCAAATGCGGTATTTGCTTCTGCTGTCCACGTGAAATTTACTTTTCTTTCTTTTAATTACTAACAAGGGTTCAACAATATTAGCAAAATCTTTTATGAATGGACCGATAATAAGAACATAACCCAAGGAAAGAAGAAAGTTTTCTTGGCGGTGTTGGGAGGTGGGAAATTCTTGATGGCTTTTATTTTTGAATCTTGAGTTTCTATACCCTTTTGCGAAATTTTATAACCCAGATATTTAAGTTCTTTAGTTGCGAACTTGCATTTTGAGGCGTTAATTGTAAGACCGGCCTCTTTTAATAATTTAAAAACTTCTTCTAGGATCTTTAATATGTTGTTCCAACGTACTACTCGTTATAATTATATCATCTAGATAGATTAAAGTCGATTTTCCTAGGACAGGCTTTAGAACAATGTCCATAGCTCTCTGGAATGTTGACGGGGCCCCACACAACCCAAAGGGCATGCGTAAAAATGCATAAGTGCCCGATTTTGTTGATAAACGCGGTTTTATGTATGTCTTCGGGTTTCATAGCTATTTGATAGTAGCCAGACGTTAAGTCCAACGTAGTCATGTATCTCGTAGACTTTAATCTTTCTAATAATTTCCTCTATAACCGGCAAAGGGTAAACTGGGAAATTTAGTAACACTATTAAGTTTTCTGTAATCGATAGCAAACCTCCAAGCCCTTTTATCCGAAGGAGGGAACTCGTTCTTTTTCCTACATAGTACGACTGGACTCGCGTACTCACTATTTATGGGCGTTATTATTTGGTTCTTTAACATTTCCTGAATGTGTTCTTCTATGATTTGTTCTTTCTGTTTATCATAGCGGTAAGGTTTAGTCCTACAGGGTTTGTCGGCAGTTAACTGTATATCATGCGTAACTATTTGACAACTACCAGGCCGTTCTGAAAACAAGTTTGAAAAAGTACTCACCACTTGCTGGATGGCTTGGCTTTCATGGTCATTCAAATGGCTAAGGTCGACTTGCGGTTGTTCCACTGGTTCCACCACCCTCCGATCCATCTCCAGCACAATAGAACTTTCCTGAAAATTCAGTTTGGCCTTCGCGGCCTTTCAAAACTCCATACCTAAAATAAGTGGACTTTGCAATTTTTTACTACAAAAATTAATACTTTAAGGCTTTCGTCTTTTAACCTGTATTTTAATGATAATTTTCCCGATACAGTGACAAGTTTGTCCTTGCGCCGCTATGATTTCTGTGTTTTTATTTTTAAATAATCGTAACCTATTAAAATTCTTCTTAAAAAAATATCACTCATAAAATTACCTTCTGCTCCTGTATCGATGAGGGCTTCTACTGGTACATCGCCAACCAGGACTTGTATAATTCGGTAATTGTGAGTTTCTTTACGATGACCGTATTTAAGTATCTTCTTGAGGGTTTTTTCAAAACTTCCGGGGTCTGGACCCTCGCTTTTTACAGGCCCCTCTACTCGTTTAAAGCTTTCCTTTCAACTTCTGCCTTCTGGGTACGCGGACGGTTGTTTTCAAATTTCCTTTTTGGGCCTTGACCTTCGAGCTTCGATGAGTTAGCTTGATAGCTCTTTCCCCCATAAGAGCGATTTGTGTTTCTGGTCTGCTCATTTGAAGATTGCCTTCGGAGACCTTGAGAATACGATGCCCCTCTAGCTTTTTCCGCTATTCTGCGATTTTGGAACTTGACCGCCAATTCGAAGAGCTCCTGCAATGTGCTTGGGTTTCTAATTTCGAAGTAATCTTGAACAGCAGGTAGCAATCTTGGTAAGATTATTTCAATAATCTCCGCGTCGGGTTTCTTCCCATACAGCATATCCGTCAGCTTAATTTTTCGCAGAATAAAGTCCGTCAACTCTTCTATATTCCGTTGATAAAAACTATATAGTTCGGCTTCTAGCCTTTGCTCGGTCTTTCACTATGGGGAAGGCCTTTAATAACGATTTTTTGAAATTTTCAAAGGTATATGTTTGGCCTCCGAATTCCCCTAATAAAAATTTGCCTATATTCTTCCACCATAGCGAGGCCTGTCCTCTTAGTGCAGATGTGGCAATGGCAACTTTTTGTCTTTCAGGCACAGGGTATAGCTGGAAATGATTTTCTAGACCTTCTAAGAATATCGCCACCGAATTTTTTCCGTCGAAATTGACGTTTGGCTTGATTGATGCTCTCATCGTCTGGACCAGGTATCCAAATCCTTCCAGTTGGCTCGCCAATTTTTTGTTGTTGGACTTGTACAGGAGCTTCCATCCAGTTTTCGGCCATTTCAGTTCGAAAGTGTTCGGGCGCCAATGTGGTGTTGCGTGGCCCCAACTTGCCCGCAACAGGAGTAGTGACTGCTATGAACTGGAAATTACACAAACTCTTTAAGAAGGGTTTAAACTCCCTTTTTATTCCACTTTAGAAGTTACAGATGCGTTCACTTGACGCTCACAAACTACGCCGACCGGCGGTTAAATAAAATAGAAAAGTAAACTAAAAATAAATAACAGGAAGAATAAATAACAAGTCACTAACTACGGGGCTCTACTAAACGTAACTAACCTTAACCGCGTTCTAAGATACCGCTGAGATTCAGCAAACTTTCAGAATAAGAAGTTGAAAGATTCAACTAACTGCTGAAGTAGGCACACAGGCCGAAACGCGCGGTTCTTAAACTTCTACCCAGCAACCTTCACGTTCGTGAATCAAGAAAGCACACTTACAAAATCGTTTCCCTTCTATTTAACTCAAAATTACTTCTGCTAAAAATTTGAATATTCTGCGCGTTCTACTAAAATTTACATACTCTGGCATTGGCAATTCCAGGGGAAAGTAAAGGCTTGACAGGAAAGATAGCTTAAAATAAATGTTAGTTAAAATAAATATAAACCCTACAGTGGAAGGGGTTAAACTGGCCGATATTCATCGCCGGATGGTAGCCGTAAACGGGGCAGAACTGGCACTCCACTTTCTCACTGACTTGTCGGACACACAGTCTGCTCCGTATACGGCCACCATCCGGTGATGAATATCAGTCGGTTTAACTCCTTCCATAGTCAGAAATCAGGTAACCTCTCACCCCGGAAGTTTCGAAAAAACTCTCGCTGTTCCTCAATCTTCCAATTTTGCATTGCGAACGCCAAGATGTTATCACACGCACTGCCGCATCAATTGGACGGAACACACAGCTGCCTTTTTCACTCTGGTGTCATATGTGGGCGCTTGCGCATGCGCACTACCATGTCGGATACTGCATTCGCGCCCTTATAGGTCTCACTACGTTATGCCAAAGCGGCATATTTAAATTTCAACCGGTTTGGTTGTTACGACGTTTTGTACCTTTTCATTTGAACAGTCCTTATAGTTTTTACATATTCATAAAAGTAAATAAGAAACACATGGAAACAGTATATCAGCATTTTCGCTCACATGAAGCTTTTGTGTATTGTTTATTTAATCTGTGTTATTTTCTTGTAATTTATTAATTGTTTCATCTGCTATAATTTCTGGCTAGTAAAGATATCATAAAATATTGAGTTTTGGTTTCTACATCTGGATATCATACACTCAAAGTGGCCTTTTTTGTTTTTCTAAATTTTTTTAAACTTATGTAGAAGCCTATTTCGTTTCAAGTGTCTTGTTAGTATTTTTGCCTAAAAATATTTTATCCTATGCCTGTTTCCATTGTTTTATTTATCTATTTTATTATGTTATATGTATATGCAGTAAACCTTGCAACTCGCCTAATTCAGAGGAAATGTAATATCATACGAACTAACCAAAATTCGAATAATTCAGATTTTCTTTAAAATATTCGATAATACTTACCTTAGTTATCACATTTCATGTGTACACTCTGCTATTTTTCGAAATTAAATGTTCTAAATGCAAATCCTCCAAAAACTGAAAATTTAAAATAATATTTCAACTAAACAAGTAATTTTCCCATCATCTTAAATATAAAAACCAAGAATTTTCAAGTTGGTATTATTCAAAAATTAGAACTAAGCAATTTCGAACTAACCGAGCTTGACTGCATATGTACAGCGGTATTACAAGAAAGACGTATATTTGTATAATGTTTCTTTTATTAATTTATTATGAATTTCAGTAGAATTATTTTTAATATTAAGATTAGAATTGTGTATCCTTACTGCATTGAAATTAAGATTATTTGTGTTTTTCTTCTTATTCATTTCAGTCAAAACATTCTTGATATCACACTTTTCACATTTATTAGGAAAGCAAGAGTATAATTTCTTACTTTTGAACTTCCTTACTTTATAATGTTCTTATTTTTAAGGCAACTGTTGCCTTAGCCTATGATGGTACAAAAGTCATTCTGGATGCATACAGCAGACTTCTAAAGAAGAAACCTGATATCTTCAGAAACAACTTCCGTCGAGGAGAAGTATACAATAATGGTACTAAAGGTATAGATTGCAGGAAAACTCCCGTCACTCCATGGGAACATGGGGATAAAATCAGCCATTATTTTAGAAAGGTGAATGTTTAATAGATTATTCTGAAATTAAATTAAATACATGTATGAAAATGTTAACAGTGCATCAATAAATATCCAGTCAATAAGCATCGTGCGATAAAGCAAATTTTCCATGGTGAATGCCTAGTGCTTAAATCCTTATGTAAGGCAAAAGCAAATCGCTAAGTCGTTTTTAAGATAATTGTTCTATACCATAATACTGCGGGGATATTTATCCTGTAATGTTCTTCAGTGAACGAGACGGAAGTTCAGAAATATAGATACCATAAACAGTGATCACGATTTTTGATGTACAAGTTCTTAGAGTCAATGAAACCGACTACCTTGGAATCATGCTAAATAGAAGTTCTACCTGTTCCTTTCCACATTAATTGAATCAGAGGCAATATTTAGATCATCATGATTATAGTAAAATTGTTTTGTGTACTGACTGTATACTAGACTTAACCATCTTTGACCCTCGATAGATGGCCATGACACTTTAAAATATAGTAACAGTTTCCATTCGTACCTTATCAGTGAAGTATGAATAACTTAATTTGATTTTTAAATGTTTCCTCTAAAAAACTGCTTTACTCTATAGTGTATTGTTACGAAATGTCCAGGCGCGGTAAGATAGCTTTGCCTCAAAGCAGGTATAGGGTTTCCATAAAATGACATGGGAAGGCGGGGTTGCCATATTTGGTGAGAAATCGACCATTCGTTGACATTCGGCAACAAAATTGGCGATATGCCATGGACGGATGGAGAATCTTCTGAAACGAATTCTTACCGGTTTAGCCCAGAATGTTCTCGAACACAAGCCAAAATCTACATAAACCCTGCTGGTACGCACAGAGTCAGTGAGTCAATCAGCTAGTTAGTCAGTCTGTGCGGAGTAGGAGAGTCCATCGAGTTGATAGTCAGTCAGCGAGTGCCGAGTTGGTCGTCGAGTGCACCGTATGAGTCTCCTAGTGTATCGCGGTTAGTGCATCGTCGAGTAGAGTGTGTTGAGCTCCGGGAACGACTGAACCGATGAATCGGGAGCTGTTCTCTAGTGTATTCACGAGTGCATCACGAGTTGTAGCGTGGGAGAGTCTCGAGAATACGTGGAGTTCCGAGAATGACCGAGCAGAGTCGGGAGCTGTACTCTGGTGCTTTGCAGTGAAGTTGTCTTCACCGTGATAGCCTGATAACTTGAAGGCTGTGCCGCTTATTGTTCCAGCGAGTTTATAGTAGATTTCCGACGATTGTAAACATGATATTCGAGCTGTCTTGAATATTACTAGCCAATAAAGTGTGTTTTGATATTACATCAAGTGATGTGTCATTATTCACCCCAAATCCGCACGAACCCGTAACGTCCGTACGAACGTGAAGTAAAAGAAGAAAAATTACGGAACAGTACTTAAAAGATTATTTTACAGAGAACGAACTATTAGTTGTTCAATTCTCTAGGCCCTAGGAAGAACTTTCAACGAAGACTTAAAAAACTGATTGAAAAGTGTCCTTAATGTAAATGAATAACAAACAATTATATATTTATAATAATTTAAGTCTAGATAGAAAACTAGTTCTTAATGAATAAATGTTAAAGAGAGGATTTTAAAGATAAAACAGATTGCACACAATAACTTATCTGCAAGTAAGAATTTTACGAAAAATATGTTTTTTTAGGTTTAAGCTAATTTGTCCAATGAACATTTCTTTCAACAATAAATTCGGTTTTAACAAATTATACAATGATAATTTAGTTTGAATAACAGATTTTTTTTATCTTAAATACGTAAGAAATATTTATGTTTGATGAGGAAAGAAAACAGATCAACAGTGTTTTTAAATTTTATCCATTAAATATAAACCACTAGTTTTGTAATTGTTAAGATGTTTCTCATTGAATCAGTTTAGTATGTATTTCTGAGTTTTCAATAGTGAGTTTAGTCCTGTTAATTTTTTTAAATTTTTATTTAGTAATGAATATTTCAAAAGAAAAAATATCTTCAAGATTTAAAATTTCAAGGTGAATTAATTTTATAAAATTTTACATACATTAAATGGAGCAAACGTAATTAAAAGATATTCTCTGCTTGTTCATTAGAATAACACCGAGTCCTGGATCCAGTTTCTAATAATTATCATAGCTTTATAGTAGCCAAATTCACTGAGAGTAGTCTGCATTGCTCTCTTATGAGCATTTTCAAATTAAATATGATATAAATTAGATAATAAATGCGGTTAAATGTAAGTTATGTAAGTAAGATTAACATGTAATGAAAATACATTTTTTTTTTCATTTAGACTAAGTTTTGTGATCATTGTATATGTAACATCCAAAAATAAATTATGGCTTTAGAACCCAACAAAATCTAAATCTAATAATAAATAGCAATAAACCAATTGACGTATATTCTTGTATTTGCATAAAATAGTAAACTAAATTTTAGAAAATAAACTCTCTAGGTCATATATGTCGAATATAATAACATAAAAATCCTAGTTTATTTGGACTCAAATTTGGAATTTTTGTACTACGGTTGTACTATTGTGTCATATTTTGGAACGTTGCGTTCACTGATATAGAGTAAGGTTGCATAAGTCGAACAGCCTAAGAAAAAACAGGTATAAATAGGATCTATAAAAAATAAAAATTAAGTGTGGTAATAATATTAATATCTTACATTGTCGCTATTGATTTTTATTACAGTAAAATTCCATACAGTATACTTTCTTGGATTAAATTAATAAAATTTATATGCACGAACCTTAATAAGACTTATACAACCAGTATTCTAACTCACACCACCTATAGTTTAAGTCCTACTACGTTTAAAATTGAATAGTTATAATGAACGTTTTCAATTAATTTATTTATACAATTAATTACAACAATGATCTTAAAGAACTATTTTCATTCTCTTGTCAACTCCACCACATACCCATCCTTTGCATTTTAAGCACTGAATCACATTCCCTTCGCGATCTTCCTCACAAAAATGATAGGAAGATTAACACCATGTGAAACACTATGGTCGACTAGGGGCATCTGTGCCCTTAGTCGATTATAGTGTATGACGGCATGTCATACTAAGCCTAATATTTTAAAGCGATGGTACGACTTGCGCAACCTTACCTTACTCATTTGTTCCAGCAAGATTTGATTTAAAGTTCAGCACAAAACAATGATCAGATGAATTAAATTTTCATGAATTTATAATTAATCAAATATAAGCATAATATCGCAAAGTGTCATAAATCTTTGAATTGTAGCTCATCCTATGCAATCACAAATAATAACAAAAAATCTATTAATGATAATCTCAGACAGTTTCAGGTGATCACACATCTCGGAATCAAAGAAAATTAAAAATCTCAAAACCATAGCCAATCACATATAATCCTAGATAATTACCAGGTTTGGAATCTGAACAATTAAAATCACGTAAACGATAAGGAGCCTATTCGGAAAATTGGAACTAATAAGAGACTATAAAAATCACGTGGTTAGCTACAAAAACGTCCGTGCGGTACGACTGATAGTAAAGAAGAGCTTACTCCCACATTGTTCGATGAGTGGCATGACGTTCCGCTACAAATCTCGCAAGCAGAAGCAGTAAATGGTATATCTACAGTTTAGTTATTCACACTATATTTCTCCCATGCATGAGTGGCCTGTGTTACTGTCACAAAGGAAAATAGTATTAAAAAATTGCAGCTGCTTCTAAATAAATTCCTCCATCTCGTTAGCTACTCTGTATTCTTCTCTTTGCTTCTTCAAAAGTAATACCGTGCACAACGATCTGAAAATTGAGGTCCGTGAAAGCTTTCCGAATGTGACTATTTTAATTTTTTAAAAAAGCTAAAATTACAAAAGAGTGCACTTTTCGGATGAAATCGGTAATGAAATTCTCATGGGAGATGACAACTTAACGTTCATATACAACCCACTTCCCCAGGAATTCCTCTCTCTTAATCCCACTCTATTCAGCGCCATTTCAGGCGTGCCTTGCGGATGTTATCTTTCCCATCCGAAAAGGAAGAAAAGCTCTTAGGAGCTCTACAGAGCAAAGTGTCTATATTTTTCATCCACTCTCTGAAAGGGACTAACACTCCTTTTCCTTTTCTAAAGGGTTTATATTCAAATACGTTCCGCTATTAGGCCTCTTAATGGAACACTTTTATGCTTAGACATAAGCGTTCCCTTTCTGAATGCGTTGTATTTTAGTTACGTATCAGACAGTCAAGGTATCACAATCAGAAGCACGTATGAATGTGATGGAAAAGGAAACATTTAAAATTGAGCAGCAGAGCAGCACGGTATAATTTGGTTCCTAGTTGTATAAAGGACTGGGCCCACTGCAATTCTTTGCAGCAAGTATATGGTCCCTTCATCATTCGCTTTGCCCAAATAAATAAGTCTATACGCCAAAACCTAAATGACATAATTGGCAAGGTACGTAAATACCTGCACATCCCCAAGATATAGACACACTACAGAATATGAACATTTCGAGCTTGCCATGCGAGACTAATGCCTTTTCATGCTCGCAAAGGCAAATTAAAAACTGCAGCTGTAGCAAGTCTAAACTCCGGAAAAATGCACCGAGGTGCACTAAAGAATTAAATCTCAGCTACTTTATTCGGAAGCTGAAATTTAATTTCCTTTTTCTTGTTCCACTACTGTGTCCCGCAAGTGGTTTTTTCTGTGTGTCATACCTTCTTTCAAATGCATAACTTTCCATGTCAGTGGGATAAATCTCTAAATAACTAATTTTTCACTGCCAATATAACAGATTTGCATCCCATGATGTTGCATTTGGCTGGTTATTTGTTGATCCAAACTTTGAAAAACATGAAAGTATATCTTTGCTTTTTGTATGTGTTGATAATTTGTGAAATTCATTAAATCTGCTTTATAACACATAACCCAAATTAAAAATCATATTTTCCACTTAGTAAAAATTATCAATAAATGTAGAAAGTAGTCTGTAATAATATGAAATGTGTATAAACGGCATTTCAGAATTTATAAATGAAATACTAAAATACATCACAAAATTCTAGCATATTCGCGTCAGGAAAATTTTCCAGTAAATCCAGACACTTTTTTTTTTCAGAAATGAGTTTTATATCATGAGATGAATGAAACGTGAGGACTAGGTTAAACAATTAACAGGTGATAAATAGGTTAAACAATTAATATACTGCAAAAGGAGAGAACGTAGTATAAAATGTAAAAAGCGTTATTTAGGTGAAAAAAGGAAAAGTAAAATATACAAAAGTATAAAGAGAAAATTTACTAAAATACTGGTTTTGGAAATCTAATATAACAAATTGAAAAACAAAATATACCATTTATATACAAATGAAAGGCTACCTAACGTTTTAAGAATTTCAAAAACTGCAACAAACTAGCATTTGCTTTTGTAAGACCAAGCTTGATGTCAAGTTAAATAAAAAGTAACACTAATAAATGTTATGAAGGAATAGTTTAGGAAAATTGTCCATGTCCACAATAGTATTTATACAACCTTATTTTCACAACCGTTGGTTGTAGACATATACTTCAGTTACAAAAAATTGTTTTAAATAACCCAAAGATTCATTTTTTGGTATTTAAGGTTTAATAGAAATTAATTTTGTAAGAATTACGAAACCTAACATTTTGTACGTTCCTCCAGTCCCTATACTTAAATTTAGGAATATTTTGGGCTCTTTATACAAACTAAAAGACAAATGGTTTCATTCTCGTGAGACGAAAATTGACAAAATTAAATACTAAAATCGAGAATTATATTTAGGGGTCGCGCACAGATTGGAAAGTGAAATGTTTGCATTTGTACATAACTAAAAATAAAAAAGAAAAAAAATCTCATGTTAAGAGATTTCTGAGTGAGGATTTCTAAGCAGATCATTGTGAAAAATATTGATCAATATAATTTTTTTTTCAAAACGGAGGTATCATTTTCATAATCTTACAGAATTTGTGTTCTAGAAAATTGTAGCAGTCTTCAGTATTGACCCGTAATTGACTCGTAATATTATTTGCATTAATTATAAATGAAAACTGGTTTTATCTTAACGAATATTTTACAATTACGATTACGATTTTACGATTATAATTCTAAAGTAGTAAAATTTCATGAGAGTATTGATAACGTATTTTTAGTTTGGAAATCTATAAATTATCTGTGCAGATATTCTTATGGCATACCCAATATAGCAAAATTATAAATAAAAAACATTAGTAAATCACAAAAGAATATCATTGTTTAGCATTTAAGGGGGAAAATTCAACTTCAATTTATTCATATGTATTAACCGACCCCTCAATGCAAACTGAAAATAAAGTCAAATACAGCAAATTTGAAATCAAATATTTCGGTCAATTTTTGCCTTACGGGAATCAAACGTTTTGTGCTTTATTTTTTATAATAAGTATAAAATTTTCCTGAATGTAAATATAAGGCACGGAGTGATGTGTAAAGTATTAGATTTTGTATTTTATATAATATTAATTTTTAATTACGAAACCATGAATCTATACGTCATTTAAAAAATATTCGCAACTGGAAGTAGATGCCTACGACCAATGAATGCGAAAATAAAGGCCGCGTAAAAGCTTTTGTGATGTATGTACGCAATGGCCGGTATCAGACAGTTCATTGGGTAAAAGAGTTATACGAAAATGCGTAAAATAAGACTGATGTACAAAAAAGGAATAAATATTGTTAAATCAGTATCAGTAAAATTATATCTTATAAATATGCATCATACACGTGTTACCCAAAAGTATATAATAATATGTATGTAAAAGTATATATATGTATATAAATGTATATATAACGTTATTTTATCCAAATGAAAACATTTAAAAGAAACACTATATGCAAAACAAAGCTATCAACTGTGAACGATAATAATATAAGGAATTAAATTTTAATTGGTGATAACACAAATTTAATGAAGATGAAGACATTTTCCAATAACATTATGTATTCTTCTGTGATTTATTTTACAGTAATATTATGCTTATGTGCTAAGATTTCGATAAAAAGAGTAAATTCACTCTATGAACATCCTAAGTTATAATATAATTGTTAAATAGGCTGTATGTCTGTCCTTCATTTTCAATTAAACTTGTAACCGAAATCAGACGCAGATTCAATGTTCGCTTTACGGTACTTTCATGCACTATGCGTCAAGTAAAAATTATCTTGCCATTAATCCATTTTCTCGTTCAAAAGTTAGATTTAATGATAATTTAATGATAGATTAGTGATAATTCATTTTTAATAATGATAACTATATCTTAAGAGTTATATAATTGTTATTTAATAACTGTGAATGCTTAATTTTTTTTCAGACAGATATTCGTGGTATAACTGGAAATATCAGCTTCAATGAGCATGGCTACAGGAAAAATTTTACAATTGATATCATTGAAATGACCATCAACACCGATATGACCAAGGTTCGTCAAACCTCTTTTTCCAAATATAACATAGTGGAAAACGACAAATCATATTTATTTTAATTTGGATATTAGCTGAAAAATCAATTTATCACTACATAGCTCTTCAAAGAAATGCAAAATTATTTTTTTTTAACGAAGAGGAAAAGTGTAAATGCATATACAAAGCAACATATATACTACCGAAAATAATTGTCACATGATGTCAGAATTTATGAAAATTCTAATGCTTAGTGTACAAAATTGCGAAAATTCTAACACAAAAATGCCCAGAAGAAAAGTAATTCTTCTTCTTCGATAACTAATATATTAATTGATACAAGAGTTACAAGCAAACTTTAATGTAAATAACAAGCAAAATTCAGTCTTTTACCTTTCAGTAGCTTATACCTTGAAATATACTAAAAAAAAAAAAAAAAAAAAAAAAAAAAAAAAAAACTAAAAATTTAAAAAAAAAAAAAAGGTTACAACTGAAATCAACGGCAAAGTGAATTTCGATAATATAAATGCCCAGCATTTCAAATAATTTCTTTAGAACACTTTTTCTCTCTGCGCTTGGTTTTTAAAGTGATTTAGATATATTACTCAGTTGAGTGAAATAAATCAAATATTAACGCTAGATAGCAGACGTTTCAGAAGTTTTTAAGAAAGAAATGACAAAAAAAAAAAAAAAAAAAAAAAAAAGAATCTACAGCAATTTAATGCAATTTTAAAGTAAGTGGGTTAGCACAGCAAACAAGTTGCAAATAAATATGATAAAAGGGGTGGACAGTTCTCCATGGTCTTAGTATCATGAATGTAGGTATTAAAAAAGCAATAACAATACAGGAATAAATGAAATTTATATAAACAAAAAAAAAAAAAAATGTCACAAGTTTAAAATTTTCCTTCGGTTGAAATCAACTGAAATTTCAATGTCTAATCAGTTAATAGAATTAAGCAGCCCAAAATAAGTTAACTGAATTAAATTTACATTGCAAATTATTTTGCACTCTTTTTCTAATGACCAAACTTTTAGATTCAATGTTTTATATAACTAAATAATTAGAAATTTTTCAATAGAAAGAGCACTAGAATACACTAATTATATTTTAAATGAAAAAAAAATCATCAGTTAAATGTAATTATAAAGTAATGAAAAATCTTAAAATTAGGAAAAAAAGTTACTTTAGTTTGGGGTAGATTATGAATCAAGTTCTTTCGAGTTTGACGGCGATCCGATACAGGTCCCTCTTTCTCGAAATCGTTGGAATTTTATTTAAAATTAACCTTTACTAAGATTGTATTATTTAAATTGTAATTTATTATTATTAAGTTTAAATTCAAAATTTGAGTGTTTATCTTCCAGTTTAATGGAAGTTTTATTTCATGTATTAAACTCTAGAAAAACTTTGATTATATTTTGTGAAACTAGATGGCGCCACATAAATACATCGACCGTCGGGATTTTCGATGTACCACATGTAAACGGGAGGAAAAACCCGGAAATTTTAAGCATTTGGAAATAAAAATGCGCACATTATTTTGCAACTTTCTTTCAGATATTTAAACTATTTTTTAAATTCATTTAAAAAAAAGTCGAGATAGGTAATTAGACTATCATCTACCGCATAAAATCCCGGTTTCGGTTTTTACTGCGGCGCCCTGACATTAACATACTGAACAAATTACATGGGTATCTCAATTATCCAAGTGCTAATGATCATAAAAAAGGAATAAATAAATAAAATAAAATAAAAAGTTAATAAAGAATAAGCTCTTCCATCTCCTTTTTGGGCTACAAACTGTTGTTTATCATATAAAGCAACAAATGAGGGCAAGATAATTTAATTTCCAGACATTTCAGCGCTCTTTTATTGAAACATTAGTGAAAAATGACTTCACTAGTGAACTTCACTAGTGACTTCACTTCACTAGTGAATAATTATGAGTGAAAATATCCTAACTGAAGACACACTTAAATGTTTAGAATCTATGTTTCAGGAAGTTCCTTTTTCATGAATCGAAGTTGATGGGTTATTTTTGCTTTGCAGTTTAGACAAATGCATTGCTGAAATATTTCTTTTTCCTAAAATATTTATTACAGTTGTACTTAATACCATAGTTTAAATAAGCCATAGTTTAAATATTAGCCATAGTTTAAATATTAGCCATAGTTTAAATATTAGCCATAGTTTAAATATTCATTAGCCATAGCCCTAGTTTAAATATTCATTAGCAACGTCTAGAAAATTATCTGTAACATCAGCGAATGACACAATCTCGAGCTGCTATGATTTGGTTGTTGTGCAGCGATGAACAAAAAATTGCTCCACGGCGATAAGCAATGGTTGAGAAAAATTCATATGCAAAAATAAAATATAAAATTATGTAGTAACTATAAATAATGCTAAAGCAAAATTAACTTTTAAAAATCTATGATCCTAATGAATTAAAAATGAGCTAAAATACGTAAATGAATATTGCTGTAGAATTGTTATAAACTATAGGGAATGGAGATACTAGTTTCGTAATATAGAGTTTTTGGTCGCGAAAGAGAGTCTTTAGTTTTTAGCCCATTCACATCGGTACCTGGATACATTTGAATAATTCTGCCAAGTTCCTTCTTTAAGTGTGGCAGATTTTACTATCTCACTTTGGTCTTTTTTATAACGGAGAAGGATAATTTAAAGGCAAGCTATTCCAAAAGCTTTGAAAAAGATGTCGAAATCGTTTTTCATCATTCGATAAGAGAAATTTTAAAAGATGCTCCATCATAATCATGCACTGAATTCAGTGCAGTTCTTATGATGAAATAGTCAAGAGTAATGAGAACACTCAAGTCGTTATGTTCAACAGAGAGAACCACATTGTTTCTCTAAATTAAACACGATTTGATTTATTTGATTTCATCATGATTTTTCATCATTTTCATCTTCGTAGTTGAAGGTGGTCCTGATTTACCTTTTAAACTGCAAGTTTATTCAAAGTGTATTACATATACACTTATGTGATATTTAGAAGGTGGTAACTTCTAATAAATCTAGGCCTTGCAAAATTGTTCATTAGCTAGTTCAGAAACATGACATTTCATTTTACATTCCTCGGGTTACAACCCGCTTAAGAAGATGCTACTAGAAATGTAATCTTTTTTTTTTTTTTTATGATACATCACATTTTTGTCTGCATTACACATTTCTCTACAGCAATATTTTTTTACTATACGATTTGACAATATATATATTAGAATATATATAATATTAGAGAGAATTAACGTTATTGTTTGAGTTATATGTCACGGAATGTTTTCATAAAAGCAGATTGAAAACTGCCAATTTTACGATAAAAAATATTGTGTGCAAATAATATTTATATATTCCTTTTTTTTTTTTTTTTCTGTAGATAGCTACATGGTCAGACATCACAGGAATGGAACTCTTTCCTCCAAAATACAAGAGAATGCGAGTTTCTACAGGATTGGAAAACAAAACTTACATCGTAACAAGTATATTAGTAAATATCCAATAGTGTCGTTAAATGTTACTTCGATCATGTTAAAAAAATTTAATGCGTAACTAAAATATGTTTAATTTATTATCTGAATACGAACGAGTAGCTGTTATTTCAACAGCAACCTTTATTTAACTAATTTGTGCAGTAAAATTTAGCGAAAGTTTCTTGAACTTAGGTGCAAAGTTACTATTATAGTAAAAATGGTTTTCTTTTTTTTTTTTTTTTTCTTTCGTCTTCTTTTCATAAAGGAAGAACCTTATTTAATGTACAAGAGAGCTGAGCCAGGGGATGTCTTAGAAGGTAATGACGTATTTGAAGGTTATTGCAAAGATCTGGCTGATCTCGTAGCGGAGAATTTAAAGATTAATTACAGTTTGAGGCTGGTAAATGACTCAGCGTACGGGGGCCAAGATCCTAACTCTCCAGTGGGCTGGAACGGAATGGTTGGAGAACTTATTAAAAAAGTAAGCACTTTTAAAATAAGAACTAGGAGTTTAAAATGTCTCATAAACACAAATTTCATTTCTAATTTTTTATATTTCACATTCTCTGAGAAATTTACGATTCATGATACTCGCTGAATTCATGATAAGAAAAGTATTTCGACATTTGAAAATTTTAAATTTATGCAAACGAATAAAATTTCATATGTTTTCTGCTAAGTTTATTCCGTCATTTAGCAATGCCATAGAGCAAAAAAGGATGCAAATATGAAAGTTTGCAAGTTAGGTTAATCACACTTTATTAATATTCTTATAATTTTTTTCAATGCAGAATGGGATAATTTTTTAAATACTCAGTTACAGTAATAAAGTGATAACGAACAAAAAGAAATGTTTGCTCAGAAAAATATTTTAGTGTCTGATATGCAAAAATACAGTTCATACTAATAATTTTAGTTTTCTGCGCTTAATAGGTTTGTAATACAGAGATATTTCTATTTAGCATAAAATCGATACTGTGTATTGTATTCTCTTTAGCACATCAAAAACGTCATATTTTCATCCTTTCTTCTATTGTCAGTTTAATTCATTTCAATGGTAAGAAAGGCATTTCAATTTTTTTGTGTTTCATTTTTCTAGTTGATCACGAGAATAATTTGTGTGCCAGAATTGTAGTTACCGTGATATGTTACCGTGAAAGACCGAAATTGGAGAATGTCGACTTTCACCGGAGAATATCAACATTCACCAAATACGTCGGTGAAAGACCGAATATTTCACTACATTCTTGCATATTCGGACCCTCACCGGTGTATGTCGACAATCACAGATATGCTCTGGTGATAGTCGAAAAGAGAGTTCATAAAGTGCCATAATAGTTTAAGTTGTTGCAATAAATAAGATTTGAATCACATAATTTAGTAAGTTTTTTATTACTGTTATTTTATTTTCTCATTTAGAACGTACTGTATAATTAAGTAAGTTTTTAACTTCTATTATTTTCCTTTCTCATTTTGAATGTATTGTGTGTTTTAGGTTCTCATGTTCTTAAGTTCTTATTTCAAGTCTCAAGTGCCTTTATTCGCGACTGAATTACGGAGAAGAAAATATAATATTGTTATATGTTCACATTCACCATTAGTACATGGTGAATGTCGACATTGACCGGTGTAAGTCAGAAATAAGAGTATTTGGAAAATATTTCGGACATACACCAAGAGACTATGTGAATGTTGAAATTCACCGGTGAAAGTCGACATTCTCCAGATTTCGATGTTTCACCATAACATATATATTTATTGGTATCGGAAGTGAGTAAAATTTTGTCAAAATCAGTATGAATAAAATGGGACGAACGTTTAAATGCACAAACATGCAATAATTACAAATGTGCTGCTAAAAGTAAATAAAATTGCACGGTTTTCCCATTAAATGTAACTAAGTCAAAACAAAATGGAACACACAGTTCTACATCCCCCTTTCTAGACTAGAACATGTCAATTTTTCCCCATATTTCGGTTATACGCCTCAAATAAAGCCAAATTTTCAAGTTTTGAATACATCGCGATAATAGTGTTTTTTGTTTTTTTAAGTGGCTCTCACAATTTTAACCCCGTAACGTTTATTGAATTTGACATATACTTAATCATGTAGCTTTTATTTTCTTGATTTCTTCTTTTGTAATTCGAAATTTTCTGGTTGATTTCTAAAATTTGTGATTTTAAATAATATTTACAAAGATTTCGGTATACATTTTTGAAATATAATCCATGAAATGCTTACCATCATCATAAATTTGATGTATTTCTAGGCGTATGTGAAAAAACATTATTCAAAATTCCGGAAAGATTTACATAATGGGCCTTTTTGAAATTTGGCATATTTGTTATAAGCTATAATAACGCCAAATATGGTTAATTTACTTTGTTATAAACGTCAATGAGTTGCAACTGTTATTTTTAACCTTGAATTTCCAACTAGGATACTGAGGATTATTCATATGGAATTTCTTTATTTTCATTTAAGAATGCTTAACAAATATTTATTAATAATACATGAAATACTATTTATAAAATTCATAATTTTTTTTTTTTTTTTTGTTTTGTTTTTTGTCAGAGTAAATTTTTGCCCCTTCTCCATTTTAACATCTGCTGTTTTACTTAACTTCCTTTTACATGCAATGAGATGTATTTGCAAATTTGAAAATAGTGCATCACGTATATATTTAATGCTTCTGAGTATTACTGTAAAAATATTGTAAATAAAACATGCTGTCTTCTTAGTACAGAAATATTTAACAAAAATTTACTAGAATATAATATTTTTTACTTTCTCTGTGCTCTAAATGCAACAATGAAAAATAATTCTGAAGGTGTTTAACGTCTAAAAATGTTTTGAGGCTTTAACTGCATATTATATTTTCAAATAAACTATTTTTGCTATTTTGGAACCCGCTGATATTATCATCAGAAACCCTTTCTTCAGAAGTATAAAATATTTTTAAGTAAAGATTTAATAAGAAAAATCATTTTTTAAAATTCAAACATAGATGCAAACATTCAATCTTATAGCAATCAAATTAATCAATCAAGAATCAGAAATTATGTAGAAATTATCCGTAGTTTTCTTTATTCGATAGCCACGACTTTATTAAACAAATCTAACAAGATATTTTTTTTAAAACAAAAGTGAAACTCATTTTTAATTCTTAAAAGCATTTTTCTACGTAGCGTGTTTTCATTGTGTGCTTAAAATTTCAATTTAGAATATCAAGATCTGAATTCTGATAATTCGAAATATAATAAATGGCTATTACATTTATTTTCACATTATTATTTCTGTGGCATTTACTCTTAACAAGGACGGATAGGATCTGTCTAATGTGCATGGGTAGTTTTCAAAAAATGCCGTCACCTTTTTAAGTTACAGGTCTTTCGTAAAGACCACAAATGTTGCTCAAAGGTGTCCGTACTGTTATGAATTACAGTATCTTTAAGGAAAGCAACCCTCGGCGAAGTTGCCGAGATGGCCAGATAAAAAGGTGAACATATTGGCTTCCTCCCTTAACTTAAAGTCGCTAACTCGCTTAACCCTTTGCGGCACAGTGTGTTCGGTGTGGACACACCTAAAAATTTCCTTCTGTACGCACAGAAAAATTGAATGAAAAAGGATTTATAGGTTACTATATTTTACTCTTAACCTTCTTTATTTATAGTAGATGGCAACTCAACACAAACCAGTCCATATATTTTAGCCATGTTTAGTTTTTTAAGACCTTCATTTTTCAAAGAAATCTTCCAGATTTTTTTAGGGTATAAAAGGAATTGTTTTAAAAAATTCTATGTTATTTTTTTGGCTGTATGCTAATCTCCTTATTCTACATTATTTTTAAACTTTTACCTTGAAATCTTGCCTAAAATCATAAGGCGAACCGTAGGTGTGCCCAGACCGGGCTCACCGATAATCTAGGACAATTGATAGTCTGTATTCTTTGTTTCTTCGCATCTCATCGGTCAGTTCACTGACAACAATGCTCGTTTCAGCACTCTTTTCGAAGCTCTATTCAGTCAGTGTGCCACTTTGTGCACACCCACAGAATTAAAACGATAAGTGCTATCTTCACAAAATTTTACTTGTGTACTCCTCTAGGCCTAATTAGACTGCCTATCTTTTTTTTTTTTTTTTTTTTTTTTTTTTTAATCAAAACTCCAACATTAAAAGGAAACGTGCCGGAAAGGGTTAACGAAGCCACACATTTTAAAGTTCACCGTAGGTCGCTACCAGTCCAGCGGGCCATGGCTACCAGTTCCTTGCAAAAATACGTGTATTTATTTAGACGATATTATAATCACGGGGGGGGGGGAAGAACTGATGATCACATTAAAAACTTGCGTCAAGTAATTTCGCTTCTAAATGAAGTTTGACTGAAAATAAATGCACTGTTTCAGAGCTTCGTAAATTTGGGCATTCCTTCTATTAGGCTTTTTCACGCCGACTTTGCCAGCTTGCGCGCTAGTTTAATTGTGAAGCTGTTAAGCTATATATAGTTTCATTAATTTTCGTTCATCCATTATTTTTGATTTAAGCCAAAACTGATGGCTTCTGTAAGCACAAGTTGGTGCCGATTGTTAAACTTTAGTTAAGTTAAGGTTCCTTTACATCCTTTCCCTGTCTCTATGGTACTTACAAGACATAGTTGTAATTCGCTATTCGTCTTTTAGAGTTCTGAACTAATTTTATGCTACCTGAAAAGGTCAGATTCTATAAGGTTTTCTTGAGGAAATAAGGCATTAAAAAGAAAATTAAAGGTATCATCATGGTATTAAAAAGAAAAACAAAATGTTATAAAATTATCTTAAAAACATTAATGTTTTTTCTTTGATTTTTGCGATTTAAAAAATTAAAAATTTTAACTGAATCGCAAATAGTGATTATATTTTAGCAAATTAAAAGTAGGATGATAAAAGTGTGTAAAGTAATAACTCAGTGCTTGAAGCTTGGTAAAGAAATGAAAAATTGTATGCTTCTCTTTATAAATTAAAATGCGTATACTGACAAGCCAAAACATTATGACCATCCCCACATTTTTATTGAACTCATCTGGATGACGTGGAGGTCACATGATTAAGTGGCAATTTTATTTAACTGCTATTGGAGAAGATAAGGAATCATTCTTGCACTTACTTTTGAGAGTAACGGGAAATGCTGCTGATCTAAGTGAATTTAATAGAGGGCAAATTGTATTGGAAGATTCGAAACTAGTGTCTCCTAAACTGCGCTACTGGTAGCTTGTTCACGATCTGCTGTTGTTAGTATTTATGCAAAGTGGCTAACTGACTGGCCAAGACTGTGAAACCAGCAGCAGACGCCAAGGTGTTAGAAATCCAGTCATCAAAAGAAAAAGAACATTGGAGACTATCCCGCAATTCAATGCAGGTCCAAGAGCAAGTGTTTCGGACGACACAGTTCAGCTGACTCTGTTGGATATGGGACTGCACAGCAGATGTTCCACTCGTATGCTCCTGTTGACTAATAGTCTTTGTCAGCTAC